GGGAGTTGGGTGACTCAGATTCATCCACAGAATTCCCACAGGAATGCCCGTGTTACTCAGTTCCACCCTCCCAAATCCCACATTCCCAAGTCCCACATTCCCATGGGAATTCTGTCTCCCTCACCTTTGCGCTCCAGTACCTCTCGCCCGTATCCAATGAATTTCCGGAGTTCTTCCGGACAGGTGTTCCCCAGGTAATTGGTGAAATAGTCCACCACGGTCCCATCAGATTCCCATTTCCTCTTGGTGATCTGGGCAGCTCCATCGGCCGCCACGAAGCTCCTGGATCCCAGCTCGAAGGAGATGAAATCCCGCCCGTCTAAGCCATCCCGCCTGGATCCACGGACACTCCCGTCGGACAGGAGGTCACAGCCATAAAGCCGCTGCAGCGTGTGGAGACCTGGGGGGAGGGATCGGACCCACAGAGATCCCTGGAATTGTGTCCCAGACCCACAGAGCCCCATTCCAGCCCCACAAATCCCAGCCCAGCCCCTTGGAGCAACTTGGATCCAACATCCCAGCCCCACACATCCCATCCCAGCCCCACACATCCCATCCCAGCCCCACACATCCCCTCCCAGCCCCACACATCCCATCCCAGCCCCACACATCCCCCCATTCCCCGGCTTTCCCCACTCACCCCCACTCCAGTTGTACCGGTCCCGCAGTATCTCCAGGTTGGTGACAGCCACAAGCCGGTTCCTATCTTCGATCTGGGTCCCTTCATCCCAATATTCCGTCTCAGGTTCAGCCGCCATCCACGGCGTCTGCGGTTCCATCCGGCGTCTCTCGCTGTCGTAGCGGCTGAAGGGGATCCCGTCCATGTATCCCAACACCATGAATTGAGGGATCCCCGGGCTGGGCTCCGTCACCGCCACAGACAGGAAACGCAGGGAGTGGAGAACTGGAGGGACATGGAGATTTGGGGGGTCCAGGGGGGTCACGGGTCAAGGAAAGGGGGAACTGGGAGAGCTGGGAGAGCCAAGAAGGGGATTTGGAGATCCCAGGGAAGTTGGTGCAGGGAGTGTCAGTGCTGGGGGAGGGGGGGCCAGGGGTCCCACTGCACAGGATTGAGGTCCCAGTGTCAGGGAAAAGGGGGATACAAGGATTGGGAGAGGTGGAATGGGAGGATCCAGGGGGTTCCTCTGACAAGAAAAAGGGGCCCAAAGGTCCCCGGGGTTGAGGAAAGAGTCATGGATGGGGAGATGTCAGATGGTTGGGAATGGGGGTCCAGGTGGTCCCAGGATAAAGGAAAAAGGGGCATCTGGGAGTTGGGAGAGGTGGGATGACTGGGAAATGGGCTGCAAGGGGGTCCCAGTGCTGGATAAATGGTTCAGGAGGGTCCCAGTGCGCAGGAAAGGAGGTCCCAGGGGTTGCCAGTGTTGAGGAAAGGCAGCTCTGGGGGCTGGGAAAAGCAGGAATGGGGATCCAGGGGGTCTCAGGGTCCAGGAAAAGCTGAGTCTGGGGTCTGGGAGAGGTGGGATGGCTGGGAAAGGGCGTGCAGGGGCATGTTGGTGCAGGATAAGGGGGTTCAGTGGTGTCCTTGTGCACAGGAATGGAGGTTCAGGGGGGTCTTGCTGCCACATAAGGGGATGTAGGAGGGTCTCCGTATCCAGGAATGGAAGTTCAGGGGATCCCAGTGCCCAATAGGGCATGCAGGGGGTCCCAGTCCCAGAGAAAGGGGTTCAGGGTGTTCTGGGTGTTGAATCAGGGTTGCAGGAGGGTCCCCATTCCAAGGAATGGAGGTTCAGGGGGGTCCCAGGGTCAAGGGAAGGGGGGTGAGGGCACTGGGAGAGGTGGGATGGGGGTTCAGGGGGTCCCTGTGCCCAGGAAAGGGGGGTCCAGTGGTCCCCAGTGTTAAGGAAAGTGGGGCCTGGGGTCTGGAAAAGGCAGGAATGGGGGTCCAGGTGGTCCTAGGGAGGATAAGGGGGCTGGGAGAGGCAGGGTTGTCAGGAAAGGGGGCATAGGGGGGTATTTGCTGAGAATGAGGGGGTTCAGAAGGGTCCTGGAGCCAAGGATGGGGGTGCAGGGGGTCCTGGTGCAGGGTAAGGGGATGCAGGGG